GGGTGAGGTTCCTCGAGCTCCCCCAGCAAGACTTTTCACGGTAATTCTTAATTTAAATGCTTCAACACCTTCTTAGTGTTGTTCAATGTGCCTTTTCCGCTAAGTGTGCCCCGACAGCTGCTTGAATGATTTTTCACGTGTGTGTCGCCTTCCTTGAGCAAAAATGACTGCAAATGCTTGCTTGTTCTTTTTGTCACATAGCGCTCGGGGTTGATGACGTCGTCGTGCGATGAGTTGACTGCAGCGGTTACTTCCACATCAGGAAATGTAGCGGCATGTCTGCTAATTCATTTAGTATGATGAGCGATGCGACAAAGAAATCACCTAAATACCTTACATGTAAGCTTTCTCAAGAAAACGCAGACACCACGGGCCAATTTGTGAAGTTATACAAGCTGAGGTTGCTGAAATTAACAAAAAGTGGTCGAAAATGCAAGCACTGGAGGCAAAGCTGTATAAGCTCATGCGCTTACAAGAAACTGTACAGAACATTGAAAAGGCGGTGCAGCATTTGTCTGATAACCTTGAAGGCGGTGTCAATCGGCAGGAACAAGGCACCGGTGAATTACACCGCCGAAAAGAAGCTATTCAACATTCACAAGACATGATGATATGTGAGGCTTAACGTCCCAAACCCCCATATGATTATGAGAGACGCCGTAGTGGAGGGCTCCGGAAATTTTGACCACCTGGGGTTCTTTAACATGCACCGAAGTATGAGCACACGGGCCTGCAGCATTTTCGCCTCTGTCGAAAATGCAGCCGTCGCAGCCGGGATTCGACATTCACAAGACGTGACAGCGCTTCCTATGTTGAAAGAGGAAATAAACGTTCTAGAACAGTACAGCCACAGACAGAATACGGATGGACATTCACAGGTTCACTCAACATGAAGGCGATAATCTGCTAACAGAAATAAATAAGATTGCCACAGAGCTTGCACTGCGGTCACTATCTGTAAACGATATTGGATGCGAAGCAGCTCTGTGACTATAGCCTGTGTAACGCTGTCCTTCCGTCCACACACCCACTGCGCATGCTCGCGTCTCGTGCCGTCCCAGGAAGACAGCCGCAAAACTGTCTCTCCTCGCCCTCTCTCGCCTCGCAAGGCCGACGCAGGTAGCCTCTGCTAGTTTAAAAAAAATGACTCCTCGCGCTGCACAACCATTCACTGGCCATTACGTATATGTAGGCACTGGATCACGCATCAGGAATTCAGTCAAGGGCGTCTTGGCTTTCGCTTGACGTTGAAGGCAACGTTTCTCCTTCATTCAATGGATGAGAATAAAGACGAAATGAGAATTAAGCTTTCTCAAACCATACACAATTACGCAACATTCACGCGATACCCCCCCCCCCCCTCTGCGACGCATTTACTCGAGTTCCTCCCGTGGCAAGATGCGGGCGACATTTTTTTTTACGTAACTAGCCGTCTGCGTGCAAAAGAAGGAAGGGACCCTGTCGCTTTTGTTCGTTTCGCCACAAGAACACTAAAAAAAAACTACGCCTCGAAAAGGGAAAAAAAGTCTCAGGAGACAAACGCAGGTTATTAAGTTCTTCGACAACCTGAATTCTGCTAAACGCCTACTTTAATAACGATCCTTGGGGTTTAACGTCACAAAACCACCATATGGTTACGAGAGACGCCGTAGTGGAGGCCTCCGGAAATATCAACCACCTCGGGTTTTTTTTTTTTTTTTACCATGAACCTAAATATAAGCACTCGGGCCTCAAGCATTTTCACCTTCATCAAGTATGCGACTGCCACGGCCGGGGTTCGATGCCACAATCTACAGGTCAGCAGCTGAGTGCCTTACCCCCATATCCACAAACGTTTCTCGACTCGACTTTCACCCTTCACTTGACAGAGTTGAGCAGGGCGCCACAGCTTGGCTCAAAATCACGCTGAGCTACTCGAGAATTGCAGCAGATTATCGCTGATACGCAGTGACTTGCCGTTCCTAGAGACGGCGCTCCCATTGGCTTTCTTAAGTGATGGTGAAGCGTTGAGTGAAGGGACGTTCTAGAATACGGGGATTAGCCACTAGACCTACGGGGTGAGTAAAAAAAGGTTACTTTGGTTTGTGAACAACAAGGCAACAGAATTGAGCTATCAATTCGTGAGGGGGTCATATCACAGGGCAGTGATATATATATATATATATATATATATATATATATATATATATATATATATATACTATATATATATATATATATATATATATATATATATATATATATATATATATATATATATATATGTGTGTGTGTGTGTGTGTGTGTGTGCGTGCGTGTGTGTGTGTGTGTGTGTGCGTGCGCGTGTGTGTGTGTGTGTGTGTGTGTGTGTGTGTGTGTGTGTGTGAAAAATTGTCTCTACTGTATAAGAGTTACAAATTATCTGGAACCTCCCAAGTTACCGAATTTACAAAATGAGGTGAAAAAGTGCGCGCATATCATGAAATCGTTGCAGGTTGAATCTGCAAGTATACCCTGGATCGGAAAGATCGCTCAGTAAGAGAGGCGAGAATATGCGGCGAATGTTGCAGCCGTTTTTTTTTTTTTCCGAACCCCGTACTTTACAGCAAGTGGCATCCAAAAGTTTTCCGTTCTTAGGGCTGATTTCGTGACGAGGAGGCAAATTGGATCCACATGGTATGGATTCACACACTATAGAGTCCTTGGAGGTCGAACTCCGCAGCCTAGACCCCAACGTCCAGCAAGACATCATCAGTCAAGCCCTTGCTTCTGTCGTTTCTCAAGGCATTTCACTCGATGCCGACGGGCGACGGGGATGCTTGACGTGATTGACTGATTTTTTTCAATAAAATTTTTTTCTCTTTTTCCCTCTGTACATAACACTACCACGAAAAAAAAAACAGTGCTCGTCAAATGGGTGCAGCAATGCTACTGATGGCCTGCCATGGGGGGGGGGGGGGGGGGGGCAGCTCATTAAACGAATGCTCACTCAGTCGGGCTCGCTACGGAAAGTCACCGAGACAAAATTGTCTAAGATTATAACACGGGCGTCTCTCATAATCATATGGTGGTTTTGGGACGTTAAACCCCACAAATCAATCAAGATTATAACACGTCGCCAACTTCTACAATTATAGAATCATATAACAGTGCTGCATGTTTTGACAGCTTGGCAGTGAAGAATAACTGTTTTTAAAAGGAGCCCAAATTGTTCCATATGAATGCAGAAAGCCTAGGAAATCAGCAAGTTGATATGGAGACATACGTAGCGCAGCTAAATTGATGGTACACGGCTCAGCATGATATCGTTCATTCCTCGGGCTACAAGTACGTTTCACTTTATCGTTTCATAAAACGGGGTGGTTGGCTAACTCTCTATGCTCACTCACGGTTGCATGATTTCGCCAGAATTTACATGTGTGACCGATGATTTTGAAGGAGCCTCCCCTGAACAGGAACACTGTACACGCCTATGACTTTCATGAAATTTTTAAGCAGATGTGTGGCTGTGTAGTAGAACATCTGCTTGCCATTTGGCCAGTCTGGGTTCGATCTTCACTCAAACCCGGAAATTTTTATTATTTACTTTATGTGCTTCTTTCTCGATTTTTCGGTTACGCACAATATGATGATTTTTCGCTCACGACCAACGCCACCAATATGCCAGAATTTCGGTGAAACAACGCGCCAATATCGATACGTCCGTCTCGATGGTAGTTCTCGGCTGCTGGCCCGAAAGTCATGGGTTCGATTCCAGCAGCGGCGGTCGCGTTTCCATAAAGGAGGGTTGGTAGAGGACCATCGACTGTGTGATGCCACTGCACCAGATGGTCAAAATGTCCGGATTCCTCCGCTACGACGCGTCTCGTAATCACATCATTGTTTTAGCTTGAAAAACCGCAAAAACAAATGTTGTTGCTAATTTTTACAGCGCAGCTTTCATGACCGTGGTTTTTCCTGTGTCGTAGAAAAAAAAAAATTGTCGTCACCATGAGCCGGCACGCGCTTCTGTCCAAGCACTGGATCTGCGCAGGTGCTAAACAATGAAAGCTGAAATTTCCCTGCCAGCTGCCGGACCGGGCCTTGCGCAATTTGGAACAAGATGCAAAAACTCTTTTGTTCTATTATTTTATAATCTGTCACGTCAAACTGAGCGCACGCCCAATTTGGGTTATCTTCCTTTTTTTTTTTTTCGCACCTATCTGTGCGCCCAAACAGATGTACGACATCTTGTTACAAATGTGCACGTTCGGGACTTTCGAAAGTCGTAACTATGGTCCCTCCTCTCATTATTTTCCGGTGATGCATTTCAAGATTTATTATAAGCTCCTTGATGCATTTACGCAGTTGTTTATCTGTGCATCATGGTGACAGACTTCTTATCTTGTTGTTTTTAGCATCTCTTGCTAAGCGCCTTAATCTTACCTTTTTATGTACATTTTTCTGCCTCTGTGGGGAAGCCAGAAATTTTTCTTTGAGGGGCGTTCAACTACATTTTATGTATGTTCGTGCGTGCTTTTGTATTGTGTGTGTGTGTATACTATACACAGGCATGCAAAATTTTGAAAAAGAAATCGAAGAAACGAGCTTGAAATCCCCTCCCCCAAACCATTTGTAACTAAACCACTTGTAAGTCTACACCCTCCTAATTTTTTTTTTTTTTTTTGTCAAAAATGGTCCCCGAAATTCAACAACTTCGTAAGGATTCTTATTTTACCGGCATAGCTCGCATACCTGGCTAACTATTTTGGCTTTGAAGTTCTCTGTAATGCGTGACGGTACTTTAGGTGTCTTTTTGAACTATCTAAGCCGGTGCTCCCATCTTTTCTATCTGGTTTTTGAAAACCCAGTCTCAATGAATCATCACCCTCAGAGCCCCCTGTGTTCTGGCTTTCCCACCGAACGGCGTGATTCTGCTCTCGAAGACACCCCAGCGTCCCGCCAGAGGGCGCCGGGTGGGATGAGTGACGCGTGCGAGCAGTGGACGGAAACAAACGCGAAACGAAAGCAGCGCACGCGGAAATGGCTGCCGTGCATCCGGAGCCGGCGGAAACCCTGCCGTCAGGCTGGGAATGCCGTTTCGACCCCAGAACGGGCCGCAAGTGAGTGGATGAGCCTTTCAGCTTCTCGATGATGTGTCTCCTTGGCTAGGCATGCTGGTCGAATCGCTCGTTTTGTCCCCTCGGCGCTCTTTTAGGCCTAGACGCGCTCTGCACAGGTCGGCTTTCCTACACACTATCGATCCGACGCTTGCCATGGACTGCTGGCTAGCGCAACCAGAGTACTGTGATCTGGTGACGCTACCGTGCAGAACCTTTGTTGATACCTTGGAGTATACGCTGTTCTATTTGAACATGTCACCCAGTTAACGTCTAGTTTCAATCGCGTAATCGATCCTTGCGGATGAAACCGCGCCGAGCCCATCCGGCCACCTAAGTATCCATCAACGAGAATGCTGCGCGCGCGTTATCAGCTGTCGGCAGGTGCGCGTTCTGTGGGGCTTAATCGAGGATTGCATTAAAGCGCGGTCATGTCGGGCAGTTCAGTGTATGGAAGTACGCACGTTTTGCTATTTCTGTCATTTTCTTGATCATTGTGTGTTGATCAACTTACGTACTGGTTAGAGATGTCGTGTATATAATATTTAGGTTATGTGTTTTAGCTAGATCATTTGTATAATTAAGTTATGACGAAAACACTGCGGAAGTAGTGTTTTTTTTTTGTCAACTAAGCTGTGCATATTTGTTGTGTGATGACTGACTTTGTGCGCTCTTTTGCTTTCTTTTTCGCATTTAGCTACTTTATAAATCACAGAGAACATACGACAACATGGGAAGATCCGCGCCTACGATACCCACAGTTGCAGCAGGTAATCGCACGTGGCATGATGACTTCCGTAGAAATACTGTTTTCATGATTGCTCCTGACAAGATAGACTCTATAAACGATACATCAAGAATCTATTGAAAGTGGTTGCAATGTCTTCGCTTCTGCATCGCGTACTCAGCCCATGGATCACATTTAGTGAAAGGGAAGTGGAAACTGCTCAGTTCCTTTTCCCTTACACTGATTATCCATTAAAACTATGCATGTTAGAGCTGTGCTGTGTTTGAAGTTTGTGAAATCTAAATAAGTGTGCATAAAGTTCAGGTGCAAAGCTAGCGTTCATCATGGGCTGATTTCTGGCCATCAGGTACAACATATCTTAAATGTTGAGCTCAGATTTATCAGGACACACACACGTGCTAACTTTTAACATATTTATTTAAAGCTAGGTCACGTACATTTATATACTGAAAAAAAAAAAAAACTGGGCCAGATGGAATTGTATCGATGAAAACAAGTTCTTTGCTTGTTAATGGTAGTAACGTGCCCGGAAAAGAGGGTGTTTACGAAATCCCCTATTGTGTAGTAAACATCATGCAGGGGAAATGAGGTGATTTCTTAATGACAGGCTCATGGAACATTACAAGAATTTATAAAAAAATACATTGTACAGATTGTAGCATGTGCAGCTGTACTCCGCTTTTTCATAGGCGTTTCATTGTGCATAGGTCGATATTGCATTAGTACCCCTTTACTTTCAAAACTTGCTTTCCAATGAAGTTGTACCTGGGCAGGCTTAAGTTGGTTTCTTCAATGTATAAATGCGTGCAATCCAGCTTCAAAGAAACTATTTGTTGGAGGTTAGCACCTGCGTGTGTCCCCTTTATCTTGTCCCGCCTGAATAAATCTGAATTTAACATTTAAAATAGCGTTTTTGTCTTCAGGAGACCCTCAAAGAAGGCCCCGCCGTGGGGATCTAGTGGCTAAAGTACTCGGCTGCTGACCCACAGGTTGCCGGATCGAATCCCGGTTGCGGTGGCTGCATTTTCGATGGAGGCGAAAATGCTGTAGGTCCGTGTGCTCAGATTTGGGTGCACGTTAAAAAACCCCAGGTGGTCGAAATTTCTGGAGCCCTCCACTACGGCGTCTCATAATCATTTGGTGGTTTTGGGACGTTAACCCCACATATCAATCAAAACCCTCCAAGAAGTGAGGGGGGGGGGGGGGGGGGCAGGCAGGTTGGAGTTTCAGGTGGTCTTCTGACTCCAGTTGATCCCCCCCCCCCCCCCCCCGGCTTGACAATTGACACTTCGCTTTTAACTATAGCTCATGTGATTATGTTGGGGCCAAGGGCAGTGTCAGGAGATTTTTTTATTGAGAAAGGGGGCACCCACAAAAAGTGATTTCATGCAGAGAGGCATCGAAACTATGCGCTGTTTATTGAATTTGTTTGCTGTTGGAGGGTGGCAAAGGGAAGTCAGGTGGAAATCTTAAGGGGCAGGCTACCCCCCTTGCCGCCTGTGGTTAGGACTTGTATTAATATTTATTTATTATTTTATTTGATATGTGGGCCTAACAAATAACCGAAATTATATTTTAAGGATTAGTATTTGAAAAAAGGCCATATCATGGTTGCCATCGTCCCTTAAGATTCATGCATACTGCAAGAAAACTGAAAGGAACACATACTGCAAGGAAGAAAAAAATCAGGTATTTAAAATATATGTAAATTTCTTGTTTCCACCTATTCTAACCATTAATTGTATTCTGGTAAGCAGTTGAACAAACGTGCAGGTGATGTCAAATTATAATGGTACCATTTCTGTGGCTAAATACTACAAGCATCTTAATATATATATGCAGCAAATGTACAACATGGTCATCTGGGCATAGTTGTTAAAGAGCTGAAGAAGAGAAAAGCTTGCCCTTGATTGAATGTAGGTCAAGGTTTGTTATCCCACCCACACCTGTTTATATATAGGTAATATAAAAAAGCTCATATACTGAACATTGCCAGAATAAGTTCGCTTGTGGGGCAGTATTCTTCAGTTATACCTGTGTCACACGGGCGCGCAAAAAGTCTTTTAAGTAAGCGGTCTTTTACGAAGTTGAAAGACTTTTAACAAAGAGGTGTTTGCGGCGCAGACACACGGCAGCAACGATCTCCTTTTAGTGTTTTCGTTCGAAGACGCTAGCGAAAGCGTGGCGCTAGCAGTTAAAAGAGAAGCCATGAAAATTAAACGATGTATCACGATGTACAAATTAACGGCCTGTTGCAATGCTCGTTTCTTCAAATAAATTTAAGAATAAGAGATGAAGAAACACCAATGTGAAAGTTTTTTGCACTAGATAAGGAAGCATTCCCATAACTAGCGATGTGCACAAGTCCGTCTGGCACCACTGTGCTTTTATTTATCATATTTGTTTTTCACTGCTCTCGACTGCTCTCGACACGTTATGGGCGACCGTACGGGAGAAAAAGCGAGGATCGCAAGCCTGACGGCCTGCCTTCTCGCTCTGGAAAGCGAGGCAGACGCTGCAAAAGCCGCCAAGGAGAGGATAAAGCAGCGCAAGACCGTGTGTCACCACGTGATATTGCCGACGCGTTGTAGCTGCTTACGAGAGTAGAAAAGGAAATAACCATTAAAAGAGTTCATTACACCTTCTGCAGGATATGAAATTTGTTTTTACAAAGAGTTTTGGTGACAGAAAAATAAGCATTCGCTCTTTTTTTCCCACCACTCGAAAATTGCTGGCGTCCACTGGTTTCGAGGCTACTCATTCGGAGCCGTAAAAGAGATCGACGAACGCCGTTTACGAAAAAGACCGCTTCTGAAAAGGAGTTCGCTTTGTGCCATGTGTCTGCTGTCAGGAACTCCTTTTCGGAAAAAGACCGCTTACTTAAATGACTTTTAAGTGCCCGTGTGACAGGGGTATTAGTTTCTCAATACTTTTGATGACAACATTGACTTCTCAACCTGAATGCGCTTTATAATGGAAGCTCTTAATCAGAAAAAAAAAAAAAACACAATTTGTTGGACAACTTGACACTGCTTAGAAGTACTTGAAGGAACATCAATTAAGGCCTTCCTAATGATACCTTCAAGTAATACTTTTATGGTGGTGACTTGTATGTGGCCTGCTGTCAAGGGAAGTTGTGTGTCTGAGTCATCTTAGGTTGACCACCTAAAATATGTGAGTCAAGAGTGTTCCAATAATGCTCACCTTGGAGGCATAGTTGAGGCCACCATGTGTTCCTCCTCTCACTTTCTTCTGCCTCCTTGCTACCCCAATGCAGGGCAGCTATGCAAAGTACTACCTCTATGGCAGTGGCAAGCCTACACCAGGCCAGGCTGCGACCAAGGTGCCGTTTCCTTTTCTCTGTTGTCTCCCTCCACTGGCCGCCGCTGCACCTCCTTTGCATCTCTTCAGAGCACGTCGGGGCTCCCAGCTTGCTGGTTGTTTTGCCGGCCACGCATTCTGCCGGCATTTCTCCCCCTGGCACCTGTCCAGTTCTCGCGTTTAGCTACCGAACTACTTGCCAGAGGAAGAAAAACCAAACAGAAAAGATGTGCCTGCAAGCAGAAACTCCCCCTGCATGTTCCCCCACCCACCCACCCACCCAGTCTTTTTCTTTTCTACCACCTCACGCCTGTCTTTGCATTGAAAAGACAGGATAGAGAGTGCTGCTGGTCGGAGAGTGAGTTGTTCCTTTTCTGTGCTGGATAGAGGGTGGACCGCATCTTCCCTTTGCTGATTTTACCTTTTCTTTCTGCTTGTTTGTTTTACCATGAGCTGTCAGGAGGAAGGGTGACCCTGCCGTTATCGAAGCAGCTCTATTTATCCTCCCCACTCGCTATTTGTCTCCTCCTCCTCCCCTGCACTGTCTGCCGTTGCATTCTGCCTTGTCTCGTGGCTTTCTTGTTTAGACAAGCTCTCTGAAACTTTCTGGCAGGCCTCTTCACCTCTTTTGTTTATTTTTACTTATTTTTAAGCTGTATTTTGCTTCTTATTGCTTTTCACTTTAGCCTACTAACTGTTCTTTGAGAAACATCCTTTAAGTGGTATCCACATAAGGAAGCAATTCGCTTTCCCTTTTTGAGGAGAATGCTGTACGTGACCACTGTGTCATTCCTTTGTCAGGCAGCTCCCCACGAGGAAACGGTAGCATGAGCTCTCCAGATCTGCAAATGCTACCCCACACCAGGGGATGCGAAAACATCCAGGCCTTCATGCATGCTCCTGCTGAGTGGCAGCGCATGACCTTGGTGCTCACTCAGGCCGAGAGAGAAATACCCACCGGTATTTCATGAACCTGGGAGAAATTTCAATAACTATACAACTATGGAAGCAGCAGCTGCATCCATCCGTGATGACTATAACACAGTAGAAAATTCGATATCAAAAGCAAATTATAATTTATAACTGCCAAGTTCTTTATGAACAATGGACATCAGGCTTTACATAATAGTCATCAGTGTGGTTGCTTGTTTTACTAACATAATAATTAAAACCCTTGTTAAAGTACAAATGAAGCCAGCTAGTGCTCCTAACATAACTTTTGGCTGAAAGGTTAGTGCCTGGCATTTCTTAGAATGATAGACTTTTAACAGCGAATAAATATCATAACTTCGGCATCAATCAGTTTACCCCCGACTTTGAATGCTTAATTCTTAAAAATGGTACTAGGTAAAAAGAACAACGTCATATGCTTTGAGTTCTGGATGACTTAAAATATTCAATAGTAACATGTCTCATAAATAAAATAAGCAATACAGTTACATGTCTCATAAATAGAATAAGCAATACAGTTATTACTGAAAATTGTCTAATTAATAGTTATAGTTGGAATATCACATTAATCTTAATGATTACTATTACTATGAATCTTAAGCATTAAAAATAATCATTTTGTCTTGAAACCTTCACATTCAGCAAACCTGAGGCAGTCATCATGAAAACACGTGGCATGCTTTAGCTGCTACTGGGCATCATGTAGTCGAATCCATGTGCAGTTATGTAACTTGGGTATTGTGCACGATTTCTTTATTACTGCTGCATGTCTGCTTACTGTCAGTAAACAATCCAAGGGAGCATTTTTTAAATAATTTCGTTACAATGCTATTTTATTTGTTATTCTCAGTATACAATGTGCTTATGTTTATCATCTATGCTATGTCCAAACTAAGAGGCTTCAGGTCATAAAGCATTATTTCATAAAGCATTACCTCATTCATATTATTCAGTCTATCAGATGTTGATATAGAGTGTGCAGAATAAAAATATTTGTTCATTAAGTAGTAAAGGTAAAAAAGTTCTCTCGGTAGCATCAGCGAGTAATTTATCTGGGGTAGAGAAGCAAGGCAAAATTGCAGACTATGCAGACATAAAAAAACCTCTCATTTTATCACTGGGATTGTGTGCCATGGTAAAATTGTATATTATCCCCTTCTGAGGCCAATCCTATGGGCTGTCAGCAAAATTTTAAGTTCGCGCAACATAATTTGCTTAATGAAAAAGTGACCAAGCTACGTGCTACTGCAAAGTTGATGAACGGCATAATATATGCTTATGTGTGTTAAGGATACTTAATTCCAAGAAAGAATATGAATTAACAGGTTGTTTTATGAGTTGCAATAATTAATTATAATTTGCATGTAATTAAATATTCAGTTATTTTATATTTGCTTATGTGTATTAAGGATACTTAATTTCAAGAAAGAACATGGATTAACAGGTTGTTTTATGAGTTACAGTAATTAATTATAATTGGCATGCAATTAAATAATCAGTTATTTTGAGGTCAGTCATGTCAATTTTTTTATAAACGGAATCAAAACATAGTCTATTGTATGCATGATTTGTTTGTGGTTATATTATACTTCTGAGTAAGGAAAAATAATACCCCTGTCACACGGGCACCCGCGAAGACCGTTTAACTCCCTCGTCCTTACGACAACGAAAATGCGATCCGTGTCACACGGCCACCCTTACGCAAACGAAGGTAAACGGAGCGTTTCGCAAAGGACGTTCAACGATCTCCCTTCGCAGCGAAACGAGGTACTCTCGTCCCCAGCAGTCTAGAGGTCAGAGAAAAATTTCAAACACTAAGTGGCCACAGTGAAAGAATAATACATTTTGGCAATCTTAAACGTTTTTTCGTTGTACTACTCATTCACAACGCGTGCTTCTTTACATATATTTACGCCCGCCAGAGTTCACTTACTCTCAACATCGATGCTCTACACTCTGCGCCTCGCACGTGGTGCCTCGTGAGTCGGGCCGGCCGGCGCCATTAAAAAATATTTCGTCCATGCATGTGGTTGTGGTCGTCGCTGTGTCACTCATGGCTGAAGAACACGAAATGTGCGCTCACGAGGCAAGGAAGCACAAGAACTTTCGCACACGGGCATGAACACAGGCAACAAAACAACTAAAAGCACAATGTGGCCAGCGTCACTAACAGCATCGCTACAATTAGCAAATTCGTTTTTATTTGAAAATATTTTTATGGTTTGTTAGCCTCTTACCTCCTTAATAGTGTTTTTTGTAAAAACCCCATAACGAGGATTCACGAAAAAAATTAATAGAGATGAAATTAGAATACTTTTCCAAAAATCAAACAGCGCCAGCTCAGCCCCCTCGCGCCAACTGTTACAACCTTTTCATTGCCGTGTGGCACTGCCACAACTCCTTCTCCGTCGAACCACCTAGGGGAGATTTACGTTGACGGTGTTCAACGGAGTTTAGTGGTGGCCGTGTGACAGGGGTATAAGGCTTCTGTCGCTGGTCTGGAAATACGGCACGTTGAACGACCTGTCGAACGTCCTAGTGCCTTGACCACAGTGATTGGCCATAACCATACCCAATCCGGTGAGGTTCATTCAAGACACATTCACTGTTCAGAAGGTTCAGTTCATTCCATGTACAAGTTATCTTGCTATTTCTTGGCCACAAAGTCTGAAAAACTGTCCAAAAATAAAGTTCAGTCCATACACATGGGCATTGCACCTCAAGAAGGTATTGTATCATTTTTTGGCAGCACATCCATGTGTCAGTATCAGACATCGTTGCTTTCAGCTGTAAATCTTTATATGTACCGATGGTGCTCCACGCCTGTACTAATTACGTTAGCCTATGAAACTATAAACGGGGTTTTGAATGGACTTGTGCACATCTTGCAGTGCAAAGTTTCATTTCATTTTCAAGTGCCCTAAAGTTATTAACCCGTGTCTTTACTTTATTTCTTTCTTTTTTTCTTTTTTTCGTGCAGCAAAAGTATTTTCAAGATGACCTTGCAATGGTAATTTTTTTTCTGTCCGGATTCTTTAAAACTCCAGTAAGAATTTGCGTGGTGTATTTGACACTTTCGCATTGATTCGTTTGCACAGGCTTGTCCTCCATACTATGGCATGGTCTACTATCCACCACCACCGCCTTCGACGACAGTTTCTAATTCAACCACAGTAAGCCATGAATTTTTCACTGTTCTTTTTGTTTTTAACAGCGTGCTGCAATATTCTTGTTCTTGAAGTAATAGGGTGCAGACTTTTATATGGAAAGACATATCTTAATTACAAGAAAGGTGTTTATACTGTCAGGCTCAATACCCTAATAAAAAAAAGTGACCTTGCTATTCGTTGCTGCAAAGCTAATCAACAGGGTAAGACAGGGGTCTCAAACACGCAGCCCACAGATGTTTCTCTGGCAGCCTACAACGTCACAAGGAATTAAATGCATGTGACTTTGCTAAATAGTTGTCACATAACTTACTCGTCTATTGGAAATAATAATGCTTTGTTCAGGTAAGCTACAGAGACAGGACTGCTCGCAAGCATTTTTTCTGTGAGCGCCATATGAGGTAACCACTGTTTGAAATTAAGCACAAAACAAAATCCATATCTCAGAATTGTTAATATCAATACCAGTATACTTCTTGAATTCTGATGCCAAATTACCTTCAGAAATTATGCATATATGAAATATGGGAAATGCATTCTTTCAAATGACAGCATTAGGTGATATTTTGGTACCCACAACCTTTCCAGTTCAACCTTCCTTACTGCACCACACCTCGCGGTACTAAATTTCAGGACTGACGGCCACTAGCTGAGGAGAGTTTAAGAGCCCTGGTGTAATACAAGTTTATGCATGTCAATCAGCTCCCTTTTCTATGGAAAGAAATTGCACTCCTCTCTTCAGAAAATTTTCTGAAAGCGGAATGTACTAAGGACTGGGGCCAATGAAAATTTATTGTTTGCTACCGTTCCCCACCATTGTACAGATGTAAGTAATGTTCACCAGTAAGCTGGTGAGTAATATTGCATGACATATTCAATAATTGAAAATCCTGCCTAATTTTAAAAGATATATTTAAGTTAATTTACCAAAGTACGCTTCATGAGTTGGGTTAGATATTAATCTCAGAACTTTAGGTCACTTTTTTGTACTTTCAAAGAATAGGGAGAAAGTAAGAGCTTATGATTTTTATGTGTAGTTCTGACTGCACCCAGATACTATCTGCAGTCATTCAAAGGCATTCACAACTTTTGGGGGCAATTTCACTGAAGAAAATAATGCAAAGCCACAAACATCTGACATTTATTCTGTGGGTTGCATGTGTTTTGTGCTGATGCAGTAGCTGTGTCTAATATTAATGGCTTTTTGTTGTTCGCTCACGACCTGTCTTTTTTTGCTATACTTAAGCTTACTGAATTGTAAGCTGGCTTTTTTTTTATGCTAATGTTTACTTTCCCCACCACATTGCTATTTTTACTGAAAAATAAAGACCCAACTTCTGCACCTGCAACATTGCATGTGTTATATATTTTTGTTGTAAAGAGAAAGAGCAGCAAGCAGCATTCTTGCTATTTCACTGCAATTCTCGCATTGATATTCTCTCTGTGCACTAAACAGATTGTGTTCCAATCCTCTCTGTATGCACTAGAGTAGTGCTAAGTATGTTACTATGACAGCATCTGACAGATTTAAGCGAGGTTTGCTGCGTCTGTCTGTCCACCCAGCCTATTACTGTGCTGTTGTTCAGCCACCTGATCATCATCTGAAGCTGTCGTCAAACTTTTGGTATCTTGAAGTTTGAAGTGAACTGCGCTGTCAGAACACCCGAACACAGTGAACACTGTAAATCAACAAACAACACATGTACATTCATTAGCTGCTTTTACACAGCGAGCTAGCTAGGCACATCTTAAGAAATGACTACCGTAAAATGCCGAGCAAGTGCCCTCACCCGAGCAAATGCCCCCCTTCCTTTTTTTGGGAGATCTGAAATAAGCGCTAATGACCTAGCAAGCGTCCCCCGCCACCCCCTCTCCTCGTTTTCCTTGTGGCCAATTCATTTTTCAAGAGAAGTATCGCTTGTGTCGAAAAACCCACAAAAACGAATACACTGAGTGTATATAGTATATAATGTTTATGGAATTCTGTTGTCATGTGGCCACTCGTATATTTTTCAAACCGGTCGCTGGTTCAATAATGACACTTGTGTCAGCTCATCCTCATTGACATTATCAAGAAAAGAAATTATCATTATCAAGAAAATAAATGGACTGTAAGATTATCACTGGTATTGTTCTTGTTCAAACCTTATAAGGTATTGTACCTTCAAAAAATAAACTCGGTTGGAAATCTTTTGTGCGTGCACGCTACGTAACCATATCTCCAGTAACCATTTTTAGAGGCTCTCCCACTGCCATCTTGAATATCAGCCTTCACCGGATAGGTGAGTGGGTGGGAGGGTTGCTTGCTCATATTTTACAGTAGTAACATGATGAATAGAACAGTTGAATGCCAACACTCAGAGAACATACACAAAACAACATAACACATACAATGTACCGTGAATGCGGTGTCGCCAGCGTTTGACATGCCACACGAGTCCGTGGGACCAAGCTGCTGAATCACCTCCACGGACGCATGCACAACAATAGGCGACCATTCAGAAACGTTGCCATACCCCAAAAACTGCTGTACCATATGCGCCAGCCTAAGCTCTCTCCCACCAGGCAGTGCTGCTAGCGCCACTGCACTATGGTTATCATGTAAGCAAAGCACCACGTCTCTCACTCGGCGGCGTTAAAGCTATCTAAGACTAGTCCACCAGGCACATGCGCACCATAAAGCAAACGCGCCTTTACAGGGAGCGAGAACAGCACCACGATATGAAGGCTCTCGTTGCAGACACTGTCTCCTTTCTACGATCCTGATATGTACAACTAATGTATGCAACAAAACTAGTGCGCACTGCGTACAACCTCTATGTGTTCCAATACAGCACCGGAAGCATGGTCATTTCTAGGCCGCCACAACCATATTATAATGTGGGGGGGGGGGGGGAGAGGAAGTATAAAAAAAATGCTTGTGTATTGTGCTTTGTATGTACATTTATAGACCACGCATTATTGAACTTAATCCAGAACTTTCTGCTACATCTCTCATAACCTACATGTTGCCTAGGTCAAGCATAGCTGGTGGGCAGTCATTTGCAGCATCCATTTCATTGATGCAATCATTTTTCAACACTGCTGTAGGAACGGCTGTTTTCAATACTGAATTTAAGTCGACAAAGTTTTTTCATCATTCTCGCATTGTCATTGCCCCTGTCATCATGGTGTTTTTGTAAATGCTATCCATAATTGCTTTTGCCGTCATCAATGTTTGTGTCATATAGTTGTAGACTTTCTCCGGGATTCAAGAGTTGGGCAAAAACTGGAGGCATCAAGAGTTGTTGTGAAAGTAATTGCTGTTACAGTAAATTTGTTCAGAGCTGTAGGAATCACTCAACTTTGATATTATTGTAATTATTATTTCTTATAATGGTATGGCTTAGCAAGACAAATCTGGCTAGATTTATTTATGCCGACAGTGTATGTTCATGCTACTATTAGCCTGCAAGCTTTGGTTTACTGTAGTATGCTTAGTGTAGTGTATTTGTCAGTACCCAACAACAGCGATTTTAACTGCCAAGCATATATCTGAAAAAAGGCAGGAGTCAGGGGAAGATGGAACCTTGTGATGAAAAATTCATAAACGAGGGTGTGCTGGAGCCAGTGTTTCGACAAGTGGATTTTTTTTAGGCTTTTGATGAATACATGTCTGCTTGTTGAAAGCTTGGCTCCAGCTCAACTCTCTTTACAAATTTTTCATCACAAGCTCATATCTGGCCTTTCATTAATGCTTCACGTGGTACATTTGTTACATTAAGTTTTATTGCCGCACTGTTTATTTGCACTTTCCTCATTTTTAGTTATTTCAACTGTTTAAAGTTATCTTCCTCCACATCTCTGCCTCGGGTCATATTGTACCTGAGGCCTCAGGCCCTGTTGTCATTCTTCACTATCATTAGGCTTTTTTTTATATACTTGTTGATTGCAATAAGCAGCACACTGTTACAAGGTCTACACTTAGAAGCAACCTAACCATCAGCATCTGATATTGCATACTGGTTCTAGGCGACGAAGAAAAGTTATGGGGAGTGTTTTGAAACAATAAGCATCTGTCGATTGGCCTGAAGCACACGATTCTCATGCCAGGGTTTTAACACACTTTCTCTTATCAAAGAAAAACCTGTAGGTCTTGCACTACGAGGCATTATAGATTTTCTTCCCTTTTTAACTGTCATGTCTCTATCACAGAAAGTTTCCTGCGGTCAAGTGATACGTTTCATTTTTCCCCCTAATTTTGCAGTTACCATTTGTAGCTTATACCTGAAGTGAAGTTGAAGTAATTCAACTCTCACGTGTTTTCTTACTTATTATTTTTATTTTCATTTCCACCTGATTTTCTTTGTTTTCAAGGTTTGTGATTATGTTGTTGCCATGTAGATTTCAGACACTGGTTAGGTTTGCTTGTTTGTCTACCAGTTTATTATTGCCTTTGTTTCTGTATTTTTTTGTTTCAGACATTTTCTTTGAAAGGCTGGCAACCGTAGACATTTGAAAAACAGGTAATAGCCCAGCTTCGCTTACAAATGATTTCTTTGAATGCACAAAAGACTAGTTCTGCTCTTACTTGACAGCAGCCATGTGCTTCCAGTTATCTGTGTAAGTCATTTGCTTTGTCACACTTCTGTAGGCATCACCAAGAGAAGGCTTCTACACTGCAGCAGCAAGACCTGTGGTATGTTTAAATCTACGACTTCTACACTTTAGCTCCTTGCTAAACACTTTAACGCATTCTATCACATTATGTGCTATGTTCGTGTTGAGATTTTGCAATTATAAGTGCATACCACCTTCTGAGCCACCTAGAGCAAAGAGAATATTGATAATAATTTCGCTTGAGCTTTCCTTGGCTACATTGCCTGTTTGCTTCATATGCTTGTTGCTAAAGTATTGAGCCCCTCCCTTTCCCTCAATTTTCCGGATAAGTTTAGGTACTCGAGGTACTCACAGTAAATGAGAATAACTCTTATTTTTAGGTAAGTAAACACAGTGATTTAGTTTGACGAACTTGCTGCTTTATTTCAATAGTAATAACAAGGGTGTATAATAAATATTAGCAATATCATTCTAGCTCACGTTCAACATTGTCACTTTGTGTTATAGTGCAGGTTGACTGGAACTGCGTTTTAGAGTCGTTAAGACATTGCATCACAATTCTAGATATGTACAAGACAACTGCTAGCCAAAGTTCTACCTTTGCCCAACCAAAAATGTTTTGAATGGAAGAGCAATTTTTGTGCATTTTCATCAACATTTAAATGTCACTATAATACATTAAGTTTTCTTACTACCTAAAGAATTGTTGATCCATATTATGAATGCTGAGGAAGAAAGAAAAACTTGCATCTCAATCCTTTCAGTTGTCATACAGCGCATTTTAAACTTTACTCGTAGTGATATTTTATAGATGTTTTAGAGAAAATCTATGAGCATGGTGTATGTGGCAGTAATGCACAAAAATCTTGAGGGTAGACAGATGTACTTTGCCACTAATCAATTAAGCTTGATGTTCTTTGCCACTAATTAAGCTTGAGAAGACGAATTAATAAAAATATGTTTAAAAGCTTTTCATTATTATTACAACCGTGGTGGTGGTCATCAAAATGGGTTGTTTGTAGGTAGTCATATGTAACCACAGCCCCATAATTTATAAAACCCTGAGCATCTCTCTTAATCCGAGACATGCATCTTCAATTTTTAGTGCACAGTTCTGTCACCAGCGTGAGCTGGAAGTGCGACCAAGGTAGCGGCTCTGTTAAGTCAGACTGCGGAAACGCCCAATGACGAAGTGTTGGATGAAACTTGAAGGCTAGGCAATTAGTTTGTGCCTGTGAGAGTGCTTTCTGCTTTGTCTGACAAGCATCTGCAATCACATTCATTTTAGTATCTCAAAATCTGGGATAGGTGGGCAAACTGGTGTGATAACATAATAAAACACATGCAGATGTCATGTTGTCCTCTCATTTCTTGGTCTTCATATTTCAACCATTTTATTCATTAGGATGTCAGTATCTGCTGTGATATGTCGTCATTCAAACTTTTTTGTCACATTCTTCGTCATGGGGCATTTAACATCATGGTGGGGCTGCCTTGCTAATGTTCTCATGACGCTCAGTTTCAATGATACCCAGACTTAGCTTTGAAAGTCTGTTATGGATACTGTTAACATGATAAATATGTGCTTAATCTTTACATCAACATATTGCATTCTTGGTTAAACTAACTGCTAAAGATTTGAAAATTAGTTACGAAGTTGCACTTTGCTCCACATGTCAGTGACACTTGTTGAAAGTGTTTCATACCAATGTCACTGTGGATTTCAACCCAGAAATGTTTTATAATTGTGCATAGTAATGCACGAACTGATTTGTTTGTTATTTTTGATTGTCTTGTTCTATAGGTGTTTTACGCATGGCAGCTGTTTTGAATCACAGTTATATGCTGGCTCCTGGAAAAAAACCAGAAAACCACTTTATTGGCTGCATTGCTTAAACACTGTGATGCAGTTTTGCAGCATTTACCTGCGTCTTGCTTGATTCACTGACAACATGTGATTCATGCACTGTTTTGTCACTGCCACCATCACCTCACTGACCTGCAAACAAATTTATTTTGTTGCTTGGCTAGTCTTGTCAGTCTCTCATTTACTTATGCCAACTTTATCTTACCTTACTGTGAGTAAACTAGCTTGTTTAACTGGTACTTTCCTACTCATTTTTTTTTGCAGATTGCTTTCCTAGTGCTACTGCAGACATGAAATGCCATGAAGTGACAGCTGCTAGCTTGCTAATTTATTATTAATTTTCTGACAAGGTTTAAATTTTTCCGTCTACTTGGTATTCTTAAGCCTGTTCATGAATGATGCAGTGATGCAGACAGGGAGTTTTTTTTTTTCTGTGAAGTAAGGAAATTAATGGAGATAGTGCAAATCAAGCATATGCACTCTTCATTCTTTTTTAACTAAAAAGGAAAGTGCAGGAACTCACTTGCAGTGGGCCAGACGGATGTGAAGAGCATTCATATGGTCCCATGTTTCTTTTTCTCCTCCAACTTTATCTTCAGGGCACCTATTCACCTTACTTTGGAAGTCCTCGAACACCATATCGTTTCAAGGTGACATGCTTCACTGCAGTTATTATTTTTTTGTGGCTCCTCTTTTGTGCATGTTCTTACTTTGAGCATTTTTTATTTTTTTCTTGGAACTCCTGCTTTTAATTTGCTGTTGCACATTCTAGCATCTGTAGCCTGCCACGTAAGCAAATGTGCAGACCATAAAAGTTTTCTTTATGGTAACATCTTGTGAACTTATTGAACATAGTAGGGTGCACTATACACTCTACACTGTGTGCATTGTGCACTGTGCGCTGTAGTGTGCCCTGCACACACTGCACTGCACACTGTAGTGTGCACATGATCAAAAGCACGGTAGCAGTACTGGCACATTAAAATGCAACATAAAACAGTTCCCACATTGTTTCATGAGCTATAGGCCTAAAACTGGTATTAGTTTTTCAGTCTGCTTGGTGGTAGTTTCATGCATAGTGATTTCTGTGCTCACGCTGTCTTGTTATTTGCACATAAGTGAACAATGAAGCTTGAGTTCATACTTATTTCTAAAATAAGAATGTGCATTGTGGACTGAAGTGTGCTAGCTTTTTTTGTTTCTCAGTGTTCAAAATGTCATGAAAAGGTGCTCACAAGAGATGTGCACACTTCTAGGTTAACATGAAAATATGTCTGGCCAAGCCTTACGTCAAGGTTTAGTTTATCCTACTGTATTTTGGACATGTATTTTCTTGGGCTAGTTGGTAAAATTTACTCAGAAAATTTTAAAGCACAAAATTTGGGACCATAATGCAGGCTATACGATTAAGCACTTAGCGTAACAATAGAGCTGTAAAAGCATTTTAGGTGTGTAAAACTAGAAGGCCCAAACCTGACTACCCATTGCAGCATTTATGGTAGCTATCCACCGTTAAAGAATATGGGGTTTGTTGGCTAGAGGAAGAAAAACTAGAATGCGAGATTTTGGCAGTGACAGTGGTGGAAATTTTGCACACAGTATGCATGTTAGTGTGGCTTTGGTGACTTTTTAAAACAAAAAGGCATGTTTTGTCTGTTATAAAAGTTAATACTATGGCCCATTATTTGCATTTTTGGGGTTCTATGTCCTTTTTACCAGATGCATTTTGTTGATGGTGGTCACATATTCAATTGTTAAGTTATAGAACAAAATTTTGCTCTTGCCATCTGCACTCTTCATGTTGTTTGAATTTTTTCGGTGCTGTATTTAAAGAATATTGGGCATATGCATCCCATTGTATTATCTTTTTTGGGGTCCCTTTCACCTCCTGATCATTTTTAATCATTTTTCTCATTAGGTAAAGTTAGGCGCCCCGCCGCGGTGGTCTAGTGGATAAGGTACGCGGCTGCTGACCCGTAGGTCGTGGGATTGAATCCCGGCTGTGGCGGCTGCATTTTTGATGAAGGCAGAAATGTGTGCTCAGATTTGGGTGCACATTAAAGAACCCCAGGTGGCCGAAATTTCTGGAGTCCTCCACTACGGCATCTCTCATAATCATAGCCTGATTTTGGGATGTTAAACCCCACATATCAATCAGTCAGTCAGATCAAGTTAGGCCTGGATCATGCATTAATGATTGCTTCAGTGGTACAGCGAGGCAGAGATTGTTCGTAATAAGTTGTGTACAGTGCAAAGGCATTAAATTGTTTTTAAATGTATCAGCCTGCACATTTTTCATTCGACTGTTGATATCTCAGCACTCATTTGTAGTACTCATCAAATGGAAGCAGTATGCACTCATTTCATGATAGAGGGAGAAACTTTTTTGCCTTAGCTGGCATGATTGTTTCGACCCACATTCTAAGCAACTAACTTTTGCTTTTTTTTAAATGTGGTTATCTGTTGAAAATGGATGCAGAAAAGCTGGTGGATTTGCAATCTTAAACGACTTGTGTGTACTAGTTTTGTCACCTCATTACCGTAGTTCCCTCAATTCATTTGAGGAGAAACAGAGAAGTCATTCTTTCAGAAACATGTTTTAGCTCGGGTGCTTATGTATCTGTCAAAGAGATATTGGGCTGGCCTTATTGACTATTTTATATAGAAATGAAGTTTATATAGAAATGAAGTTGGTGGTTTGCTCACTTTGTGATTGATTCTTCGTTGCTTGGTGGAGAAACTGCACTGAAGGAGCCAGGTCGAAACAAGGCCTTGGAAATAGACTTTGCAATGCCTTACTGGGCAGAATTGGGGCTTTGTAGTGTAGGGCTGAACTGTGTCCAAGCAATGGTTGAAGTTCTTAGTTTTAAGAACCCTTTGCACATTTCTATTGTCTGCCTAAATGTTTCGTGAAAAACACTATTCGGCGGTGGCTCATGCAAGTTTTGTAGTCATGGATAATAGGGTGAAAAAGTACATGTCAAATTTTGCAGCACAGTTCAAAGAAGGCCATTCATTTGGAGCAAAAAAAGAAGTGCTGGCTTTGAGAACTGGTACATATTCACATGGGAAGTGACTATCATATTTCAGAGTTTCACTGTTGTAGCAAGCACTTATAAACTGAAGTAAAGTACCCGCTTTGTTTTATGGTAGCATTAAAGGTTTTCACTTGGAGAGCAGAGTTGATCGGATGAGCATAAAGGCATGCATTTTTTAATGTGGGTGATTCCACGAGAGATCGACACGGGTCCAAAAGTTGATATTTTAGATTTCATTGAGTATTTTATATTTTGTGCACCGCTCACCAGGTAGCCCGAAAGTCAACTTCATTTTATTATTAACGGCATAACTTACGACAAAAAAATATCAAACTTCACCAACATGGAGGCATCAACTTCGTCACCTGTCATTTTCGAAAATTGCAGATGCTATAAAAAGACAAATATTTTTGTTTCAAGGAAGATATTTTTTACCTGAAATGCATGTCTAATGAAGAATGAATTCATGCGGATTCAAGTTTGTAGACCTTAAGAAAATAGCTTTTAAAGATGTCTAATTTTGCGACAGTTTAAAATAAGTTACGTATTCCCCATTTTTTTTCTCCGAAAGTGATGCAAGCAGCATTTTCAAACTTGACACGTTTTAAGGATATAGTGTGTTCATTAGGTACATAAATTATTGCTGCCGTAGGGCAAATGTATATCTTTATATATTGCCTCAAAATTCTCATATTGGCAAAAGTGTACTCCACTGAAATTTGAATAATAAAAAAACCCCATCTTTGATTTTTCTTGAAATCTCATAAATAGACAACCGAAGGCCATCATACAGTATTATAGAAAAACATGTTGCATTATTTTGTTTTTAGCGACAATATTCGTGGTACAAATCAGAGCTTTTCGAGAATGCGTTAAGTTGAGAAATCTAGAAATCGGAACGGAAAAGCGGCAATAAGCTTCAAGCGTGAGTAAACGTGACCGCATTTGGTGAAGAAAGGCTGTTTTAGCACTGTGACAAATATGTACCCATGAAGGCGCATTTATGCTCCTGATAACACAGCTCTAATAGAGGAAATCTTCGACACTGTAACTCAGTTGCAAAACATCTGTCTATATTTGCAGATAAACTCAAACATGAAAATGTTCCAATGCAAGCGTTGGGACTCGCTAGAAAAAGCATATGCGCTTGAAGTACCCTCACTGGTATTTTTGTGGTGACTGCGTGAAACAAGAGATGCACTCAAAATGGCTGCATCTTTTGCAGATCACATTGAGCAGTACGTGATGCTAACAAAACATGACCACGATCAGTGCCCTCAGATGTGCTTAGCCAAACATGCCAAGAATGTATGCCTGGAACACGTGGCAACGATTTCCACTGGCTCTTCTTAAACTGACGGAATGTTTCTAGCTCGTCTGCATTTGTACACAGCAGCTTGACATTCTTGAGCTTCACACTCATTTGCGCCACCATTTGGGATGCTGACATAATCATAGCTGAGCTTGCCGCTCTGAGGTTGTAGAGCGTAGCCTGATGCTTTAGTAGGCCACCAACGCCGTCACAAGAGTTCTTGCCATGTCCTGTGGCCGAAAAAATCCACTTTGTTGATATATGATCTTTCTGACATAACTCGAACAACTGGTACTTGTTTTTGAAGTGACTGCATGCACCATCAGAAATATAAATAACATGCGTGTCAGGCTTAAGTTGTTCCTTCATATAGTTGTGGATTATTTGTAGAGCAAAACAGGCATGTGCAGCATCATGGCATGTGTCATCACTGATAACGGCAAAACTTTGAATTGATTGCTTCCTTGTGACGACACACGTGAATATACACACCTGTCTTTTGTGCCAGTGATACGACTGTACCTCATTCGGTAAAATGGCTGTCCAATTTTTGGCGAAATCAAAGTGAAAAATGCAAGATTCTTTTTCTTGGTTCTCTTTTGCCTGGCGTATTGCTGATTCTTGAATGTATCTTATGTAATCATGGGTAATCCACTTCACGAACCATAGACCTAGCTCTCGCAGAAAAGCACTTGCCTGGGCTATCTTTTTACTAGATCGCCATTTTTCCATACTGCATAGGCTACCTCAATGTCTTCAGAGATTCCTAAACATGTGGCTGTCAGAGCGTCCTCCTTAGCACAATAGTCACAATGGCCTAAAAAACAATCACTTGTAGGGGAGCTGCAAAGACATAGTTCTTTCAAGAAGTCCGCCGTGTAGGCACCATCGGTGACGTCTTATAGGGCAGAAACACACTCCGTGGCATTAGCACAGTATATACAAAGGCACACTTCTTAGTATGGTGCAAGAAGAACCCACTTCGGCCTCAGTGAATAAAACTTTGAGAGCCCAATATACGTGTTCGGATTAGCTTCTCTAAAGAGACGGTAAGCCTCTCGCACCGAACGGGTCATAAACCTTTTCGAAACAAGCTCTTTTTTTCCATCAATGATAACAGATACTACATCTTTTTTGTTGGGACTCTGCCGAGAGCAGCTATACTTATCTTTGGAGTAGTAAGCCATAGCTGCCTGGACGTCCATTGGGTTCAGCCGTGTCCTTTTTACCGCATTTGGTGCTAACCATATCCCGTGTTTTGCACGCCAACGTCGGGATCTGTATATCATGTCAGCTGACA